GGAGGAGGAGGAGGAAAAGGAGGAGGAGAAGGAGGAGGAGGGGGAGGAACATGGCATTTATATTGTCCACATGTCCATACTTTGGAAGGATTAGTGTGCTGTACCAAACACTTAGCAACCTACAACTACAATGGCATAAAAAACATACTGTTTTTATTTATTTATTTATTAAGCAGCATTTACGCACAAAGGCACAAAAAATGACATAACCATGATATCAATAATATTATGGTCTATTTGAAGAACAAGGGGGCTATCCCCCCAAAAAATTCTGATTTTAGAAAATCGAAGGAAAAGTTTTTGGACCCTTGTTCAGTTTCTTTAAAAGACAAGGTGAGTTTTCTCAAAACCAAACAAATATTCACACCAATGAAACCAAACTTCTCCTATAGGTAGGGTGATGCCCACTTTTGGTGTAGGTCAAGATTTCTGAAAAACCCCTGAAATTTGGGTTTGCCCGCTTGTCCTTAAAAGCGACCATATAACAATATCTAGTTGCTAGGGCTGGGCAATGAGTCGCTTTGACAAAATTCGGATAATATTATGTTAGTGCCCCTATTCGGCGAATAATATGTTATGAACCGCTTCGACAAACGGATTAGAACCACTCCAACAAATGGGTGCCCCCACTTCGGCAATCGGGTTAGGAAAGAGAGTTTAAGAGTCTGAATTCGGATCATGTTTCATTGAGAATTATCCGGTTTTCCGGATAGGTTATCCGGATTTTGCCCTTTTACTTCTTCCTCTCTGTACAAGTGGGACACCGCGGTAGTAGACAGTTTGAAGGGGACTCTCATGGCCTAGAGGTTAAGGTGTTCGCCCCTCAATCAGTATGTCCCGGGTTCGAATCATGATAGCGACGGACAATTTTAATATTCTTCTATAAAAGTGTCTCTTTTCACCTCCTTTCTTGCTCTCTTGCAATGTTCTGTTGTCTGCTTTTGTCTCCACTTTCTGCCCCTACCCCCTCACCTCCTTTGCCCCCTCATCTTGGCCTCTGGCTATTTCTGAAGCCTGATCTTCTGGCAGGAAAGATATACATCTAACCTTCTTAGTAAAAGGCGAAAAATATCGGAGGTTCCAGGTGCAAGTTGCGCTCGTTAAAGATCCCTTTGTGGTCCTGAATAGATAAGAGTAGGCTTCAGCCGACACTCGGCCAAAATTTAAATGTAATATTACACTCTTTCTTCGGTCCCGAGGTGTTGACTTTATCAGAATTCCATTGTAATAATTTGTTTTATTTGTAATTAAGGCGCTTTTGACATTAACGTGAGTCTGAATTTTTTTTCTCTGTAAGTAAGAGAGAGTGTATGCAATATTTTGCTTGAATGATTTACTCCGGGGGGGGGGGGGGTTATTTTCATGTGGAACTGCTTATTAATTTTCTGAGCATGTATGTGTGTTTGCATGTCTATCATGAATAGTATGTAAAGCGCACAGAACAATGATTGTAACACGAATTTGCGCTAATGTAAATGTCATAGTAGTAGTAGTAGTAGTAGTAGTAGTAGTAGTAGTAGTAGTAGTAGTAGTA